CCACGACCACGATGACGACGTTTCTTAAAAAATATACGTAAAAATTCAGAAAAATTCAGACTCCTGGACTTTGCATTGCAATATCTCTACTCATGGGGCACGTAGGAGAAAAGTAAAAATAGTTTTATTATGCAAATCGTACCCAAGCTATCGATTAAGCGCAGTCTCAAGTTCGTGGGATCAGCCGTTGTTGAGATAAAAAAATCTGAGGGCCCGTCAAGTCGTGTACTCGCGTAAACTTACACGGTCGGTCTCGCGCGCGTGTACTAGCTTCGCTTACACTTGGCGCGAGACACTACCGTGTCTCGTGATAAAGACGAATAAACGATTTGCTTAAATGTATTAAACTTAAATGTATTAAACGATATATAACGAAATAAAACACGATACCGGCTCACTCACGATATTAGCGATATTCTAAGTATTTTGCAAGTACTCCCGTTTAAATTAGTAATTCTTTTGCATGTAACTGGCTCGCAGGACCGACCGACGCGTGTCCCTTCTCGAAGGCGAGTGTCTTTTCAAAACGGTCACGCTCCGGCCGTTTCCTTGTCTTTCCCCTCTGTTGTTACACGATTTGCCCTTGTCTTTTCACGCACCCGTGTTCTAGAATTTTCGCCTCGCGCGGCTCGCTCGTGCGGTCGGTCGCGCGGCTCAATAGCGCGCGGCCCGTTAGCGCGCAGGCGCCTGGGATCTTACCTTCAGGCCACAATCCTACCACTAGTAAGCATCTCATTTTTCGTACTTTTATATTGGTACTAATGGAAAACTTTGACTCACTTCACTCGAAAATTATTAAGCTGTTTCAGCTTGATGGGAATAAGATAAGCCTAAACGTGTAAACGCAACTCACTTTAAGTAGGAGTTATAACATCGGCGTTACTAAATCGATGTTAAAAGCCGTGTAAACGTAGTCATTGAAAAATTCGCAGTGTTGAGGAATAACGCGTAAATACTTTTATACGTTGGAGCAAGTAATTACATTAATTACTTTTATTAGAACATTTTCTTTCATAGGCCATTTCTATTTACAATAAATAATGTACGCCAGTTCGTATGCGCTTTCCTGGATACGATCCAGAAAAGGGCCCAGGCACTTTTAGCCGTTGATACACTGTTGGCGCGAATAAAAACATGGCGGAAAATTGAGAACGCCCAGATCAAAGGTGCCGACAGAGAGTGGGCATACTGGCACTGAAATATATTACTAACTGGAACGCGCGCTAGAGCCGAGTCGTGCGTACCGAGAGAGAGCATCGTCGAGTGGCGTCTGTCATTGTCTGGTTTATAGGGTGGTCGAGAGTGGGGACGGAAAGGTACCGTTCCTTTCCGTGAACTAGAAAGAAATGAACTAGAACCTAAGCCACTTTTCTTGGTATCCAGACAGCCTTTATCTGTCGAAAAACAGGTCACAATAGCTCTATACAAATTAGCAAGTTGTGCTGAATATACAGTCGTTGGTGATGTGATGGGTGTTCACAAGTCAACAGTTCGAAAATGCTTATTTAGAGTAACCAAGGTCATCAACAACATCATGGTAAAAAATTGTATGTTTATGCCTTCTGAAGACGAAGCTGAATTCATATCACTCCAATTTAAAAGAAAAAGCTTTATTCCACAATTAATTGGAAGTATTGACGGAACACATATCCCAATTACTGCACCACAAGAGGGTTATCAAGATTTTGTAAATAGGAAAGGCTGGACATCATATAATGTAATGGCTGTTGTCGACCATAATGGAAGGTAAACATGCAAAACTGAGCTCGGAAAATAAAGTTAATTTAAAATAAAATTAATTAATTTAAGCTCCAAAATCTAAAATTAATTTATTATCTGTTATTAGATTTAGAAATGTTGTAATAAAACATCCAGGAAGTGTGCACGATGCTGCCGTATTCAAGGACAGTAGCATATTGTTGTGCCCCGATTGCCGAAAGAGGTAACGAGGGCACTCAAGCAGTGTTACTGCAATTAGAATAACACTAGCGTAAGCATATTGCGCGATCGAGCCACAAAAGCCCGACCGCGCAACCTAATTAAATTCTAAGAAGAAGTCAGCAAGGTCTCGACCCGATTACGAATGACCGCAGTCGAGTACTGAGAAGTTGCTGTCAGGTATCGAGAACGCTGACGCCTCGATCATCGGGTTTAAAACCAGAGGAAAGCCCGAGATCGAGGCACTTGTCACTATCGCGTATCCGCTAACATACTGTATGCGTTAAACACTTGTCCGTCAGGCCGTCGGCCTGCCGTCAACCAATCTTGTGAAACTCAGGTAAATAAAGTCAAGCTGTGAGATCCAACGGTGCCTTCTTGAAGTGACCTCCGACCAGCCACATCCCATCAAAGAACCCCTTCGGTTCTCGTCAGAGAACACCTCCGGAGCGAGTAAGAAGGAAAATACACCGCGCACGGAGCGGCGCGGCAACAATATACAAGAATGCGCAGACCATTATTCCTCAGGTAAATGTCAAATTTTTTTGTTTGATGTACTTGATTGTATTTTTATATAATACAAATATGATATTTATGAATTTCAGATTTTTTATATAATACTAATATGATTTTATGAATTTCAGACATCTGAAAACATTAATGGTATGGCTGTACCATATATGATTGTTGGTGAGCCAGCTTATCCTATGTTACCTTGGCTCATCAAAGGCTATTCAGGCTCGTTGTCAGCAGAAGAGTCTTTCAACGTGTATTTGAATTCTGCACGAGTTTCGGTGGAAATGGCATTCGGTCGGTTAAAAGCTAGATGAAGAATTTTATGCAAAAAAATGGATTGTACTCATACGTTTTCTCCACAAATCATTCTTGCTTGCTGCACGTTGCACAATTTTGTAGAAAGTAACACGGTTCTTAATAGAATGGTTAGAAGAAGTGTCCAACAGTGATAAGTTGTTTCCTCAACCAATAGCTGTACAAAATCGTGATAGAGACTGCATACCTGCTATAACAGTGAGAAACCATTTAAAACAGCATTTATTGTAGT